TTATTGAAAAACCTTAGGCCTTACCCTGTTAACGAGATCTACGAGCCAATGCTGAGTACCTCACCAATTCCTCTGATTGGGAGTATTGTCAGTAATGTCCCATAATTTTCGAGGTTCTTTTGTTGCAAGTTCATCACTTATCCAGAAAATTAGACGTTATGCAAGCGTACTGCAAATTGAGAGCTGAGATCATGAAAAGCTGGCCGGTAATACGAAAAACAACTTGAGAACAGAAATCAATATAGATACCGAGAAAACATCAAATAATAAATCAAGAAGCTTATTTTTCATTCAATTTTCTCCACGGTACAGTTCATTGACACAAGGAACAAATTTGATCAACAGGCGTCGTCACCATTTTGATCCTCTCTCGCGCGTTCTAGGAGTAATTTATCGCTTTGTGAAATTCCTTGTCGTTGGCAGGTTCACAATTTGTGACGATCTTGGAACAGTAATGACATTATTTTTCAGATTGCTCGATTTATGGTAATGAAAAACTATCGCTGTCATCACTGCTCTATTTGCGTGGTGTACATATATGGATTAATAAATAAAAGGGGTAAGTTTCTAAAGAAACTGTGGTGCTACGTTAGTGAGAGAGTATAAAGGGTAATTTAGTATTATCAACTGAGTTGATAACGTAAGTTGGCCACCGTAAAGAGTTCCAAAGCTGACGTTTCGAGAGTTAGCCCTCCGTCGGAGCAAATGGAGGAAGGGCTCTGACTGTCACTCTGAAATAGGGCTAACGCTCGAAACGTCGCATATGAAGATTGTCTAATTTAATAATTGGGATGATACACGCTGAAAGAGGAGGTGAAAGGAATGGAACGACATGATGGAAGGTAGTTCATTACGTAAACTTAATTTAAAAACATTCCTATTATAGGAAATAGGGCAAAGAGCCGTTGAGGAAGGGAAACCTCTGATCTTTCATGAACTTCATTGTGAGATAATAACCAGGGACAGTCGAAAACTTCATTTTCAATTCTTCTATTTTGTCGAAAATATAAGTGCTTGAATATCGAGAGTTTATTGAATAAAACATGACTGTGGAGATCCCTCGTGGATCTTGTCGTGAAAGGAGCAAATAAATGCCAATTTGTACCGAGACCAACTGTTATTGTCTGCCATCACTTAACATATCAATATTCGAGTTCGGAAGGTTCCTTAACGAGCAAATCGAGCAACTTCTTTTCAATTTACACTTTCCGTTGGATAAAGTTTTGTCAGACAGTCAAGTTAGCGATATATCTACTTCTTCAAGACATTATTGCCTCTACCATGTATTATACATTATAGCTCTCTAGTTATGTATATCGATATTTTTTTCTTTATTCAATTATTTTTGTATGTGTTTTATAGCTCCCATCAAGCAAAATATCATAAGTAACACGTCATCAAAGACAAGAGATTAATTTTTCTTCGGTGAACTGTTGTCGAAAGTAACGTTGTAGTGGGATGACTGTCACGAGAAGTAAAAACTTACAAATTTTACGAGACATCTACGCTACTGTTTTGAAAATGGTATTTTCATTCAGTTTATTTGATTTTGTATTGGTGAGGACTTTCTTTCAGTCTTACTGAATAGCTGATTTCAAGATTTGGGAAAGACAGGCATAATTTATGAAAAACACGCAAAACACAGAAAATTTTACATAGTCCATAAAAAGTCACTCCTCCTGTATAAAATAGGCCCTCAGGGGTATCAAAGGACGGTAAAAATATGCCTCCTTAAGATGCAAATGAACTTAAAAAATATAGTAGTGTGATAAGTTTGCGTAGTTGAGAGGAAAACAATAGGAATGTTATCAGTTTGAATGAAGTTATTCTTAGCTTTAGGAGTTTTTTTGTTTGTTTTGAAACTATTTCGAAACTTCCAGAATAGGAGGAGATAAATAACCATATGTTCAATACCATTTTACATCTACAGAACGTATTTTCAAGAGTTTGGTTCTTTAACTAGTCATGCTTACTGAATTTGGGTTTTCAGGTTTGGCTTGTTTGGTAACAAGTTTTTTTTGCAATAATGACCTGCGTGTTGCTACAATCAATTAAATTAGCTCAGCGTTTGAACTGTTATATACCAGAAACAGACGTGAATCGTCACACGAAAATTACTCGCAGATTGCAACTCACCTTCATCCAGGAAGTCAGTGAAGTCCAGAGTAAAAATATGAAAAACACAAAAAATTTCATGCTTCCTTGAAACAACGGACTAAAATATATATGCTTTAAGAGTCAACAACCAGCATTCAGCGATGGATCAAACAATACTAACTAAACTGTTTTAATAAAGGATATTGAGTGCAATGTAGTGGCAGCTGTCAGCTCAGAATCAATAAGGTTGTGGATTCAAAAAGATTTCTGTGGAAAAAAAACTTCGGCCGACATAATTAACGTTTCGCTGGCCAGGAAGACGACTTGGGAGCCACCCTTCATTATAAACAAAAATAATCAGTCGAAAGTAACTTTTATTATTATCATTATTTCGATTTGCAACAACGTGAGTTCAAGTTTCTTATTGATTAAAATCAGTGGAGAGTGCTTTAAACAATTACTTTTTAAGCACATTCTTTGAAATGTCCAATAAACGGCAGGAGAGCGAACCAAAGGCAGGCAGTGACTTAAACTTCTAAGGTTAACATTTACTTGGCTCTGGATTATGATACATGAGCGGAAGAGAGGGTGTCCTAAATGTGACTATTGCTACGAGTGAGTGTTTTTTCTTTTCCTTTTTTTCATGTATACTTTAGTTTTATCAAGTGGCAAAATTGCCTCCAAATACTTGCAGCAGGGCTCGTCACTATAACAGAGAGCTTGCATGTTGTGACTCATTTGTACCTATTGTTTGGAGTTCTGGATTAAGCCATTGCGCACGGGACGAAAATACAATGCACACAATTCACTCGGTGTATTCAGGCATCTGTTTTTGTGAGGCGAAAACAGATGCCGTGCACTGGTATCCAATCCTATATTTGCTGAACTGAAGTAACGTACAGTGGGAGAAGTTGCAGGTCATACTCAAAAATGGTTTAGTACTAAGCTTTATTTGGCAAATGTTCCTACAGTCTCACTGATTTAATAACAATGAAAAACAAATATTAAATCTAATTAAAAAAAAACAAACAAACAAACAAACAAATACCAAAACCAAATAACACATGGAACCTGACGAGTTTGTAAGTAAATAGAAGTCAGTCAGCAAATGTTAAGAATGACTTTCTATATACAAGGTTCCTATACGTTATGAATTTAGTCGAGTCTGAGTTATAGGCGAAGACAAGAGCGGTGTATTTTTTTATTTTTTTATATTTCTTTTATTTATTTTGCCATATATTTATTTGATTCGTCTATATTATTACAGAGCTACTTTTAAGCAATTAGAAACTAACGAATTTTATGTCACCCTGTTAACTGAAAAGGTATAAAACATTTAAACTGCTGTCCTAACAAAAAAATTATAGAGCTGCCAGTCAAATTGTATTAAGATCCCCTTTCCTGTCCCCACCCCCTCCTCCCCCGTTAATTGCATGTTACCTCCAACTCCTAAGAATTGGCAGTGATTAAGCTACATAATATGCCTTTTTGTTTTTTCGTATTTAAGTAAGTGATAAATGCCAATTAATGCGAAATTTTGGCATAAGTACTTCCTTGCGAAAATGTTAGAGATGTACAATGTTGTGCAACTTGAGTCTGTGTGAATAAAGATCCGACTCAACCTATACAGAAGTTTCAACTGAGCGTCAAAAGTGATTCATCTCCGGCCGATTGTCCTTTTTATCTTCATCATTTTATCATCATGTCAGCAAAATTTAACCATTTTTGAAAAAAACTTTTGCTTTTCACACTGAACCAGTCCTGATTTCTTGATCGGTTTCGGTTTCAACAACAAAACTGTCATAAAAACGGAAATAACGGGGGTTTCCGAAGAAAGCTATTCTAAAATAAATTGATTGGTTAACTTAGTGGACTACCCACAGTAACTACTACTGCACACTTTGAATCCATTTTTCCATCGCAGTTTAGATTTCATATTTGCGTTAGCGGGTTTCGCTCGAGCTTAAAATTGATATTACAGATGACAATAGGATCGAGTGGAGTCCTACATGAACCAATAGATTGGTCTAAATCCTCTTAATTCGTTAGGTTATTAGTTTGGCGCTCAGTCTGTACCACAGTAACGCCAGGAACAACCAGGTGGCTTGAAAAGTTTGTAGATAAAGTAGGCTTCAGTGTTATACAAGGATCTCCAGGACTGAGAAGAGTAACTACACACATAACAAGATATCGTATTGTCTCAGGTGTATTTTATATAGCCAATCAGCTGCTGACACGTCACTCACCTTTCGCGCCACTCAGTCAGGTTGATGAATGAACATCCGTGTTCCCAGACAAAAAGAATTATCGCTGCTAAAGCACTGAGAGTTTCGTATTGCTTATACATAGTGACGTTCAAAAATTTCTAGAAGAGGGAGAAAACCAAAATACCAAAAGACGAACCGAAAGTTACGTATTCAGTGGCTTTGGTGATAGCAATTCTAGCGGCTGAGAACGAAAATCGACTGCTGGATGTTATGCCACAAGCCGATTTTGTTCGACTTGAAAGATTTCTTCTGTCGGTAAGGGAAAAGTGTATAACTGAGGATTTTGTTCATTAAAAACTACGTGCATTGTTCTTTTTGTAGTGATTCAACACATTTTTTTCGTCTTGAGCCTTTGCACCAACGCACTTTACGATTTTTATTCGGGGATTGTCTATCCTTTTAATTTCATTGATTACTAAAGTCGAGTTTTCTTGTTAGTAAAGAGCTATTGTGTATATATAGTAAACAAAATAATACACGGTTGCTTGTTGATATGGAATTTCTCTTCTCGTGTTTCACTCAACATCTCACTCGTTCGCTGCGCTCACTCCTGAGCTATCGAGTTAAACACTCGTAAAGAAATTCCATATCTACGCGCGCCATGTATTATTCTATATATCTCCTATTGTTTCGCGCTCAGTCTGTACCACAGTAACGCGAGTTACAACCAGGTGGCTTGAAAAGTTTGTAGATAAAGTAGGCTCCACAGTTTTTGACAGAAATCTCTATTGTGTGTTTGCAACCAGTGGGATGATCACTAAAGCAGACTTTCCTGTGAACTTCACCATCCTCAAGTGTGGGATGAGCTCCATCCAACCAGCCTGACCAGACTGTACCACAGTGGTATGCATCCACACGCTTTGTTGGCATTTTTGTTCCAGCATCTCCCATTAAACGATACCATTCCGCAGGGTCACTCTCTGTAGGGAGTTGATCGTCACAAGACTCTGGACCGTTAGTTGGTGTTGAGTAACTGCTCTTCCTGTCGTTTTCATTTAGAATTTTATAATTTTTGCAAGGATTGCCTACAAAATGAAATGATAATTATAACAGGATTAAAGTCGTTAGAATCAATGGTAAAAGATTTTGTCTAACGAGCATTACTTACTGTACATTCAGCAAGAAGTCAATCAGTACTAATAGGAGGAGCTCGTCATATTTCCCCAGCAGCATATTTCATCATATTTCATATTTCATCGAACGGTCACATATTGTTTAAAAACATACATATCTTACGCTTTTTTCTCTTTTTCTTCTTCTTTTTACATTAATGAAGTTATTAAGCTATGAAATAGCTCTGAGCTTTAAGGCCAAACTTTGTTTTAATTCTGTTGTCAAGCATGAAGACCATGCGAAGGCAGAAACAAACAAAAGTCTCAAAATTATCCATTTACAATTAAGGAAAATGACTGAAAAAAAAAATACTTCCCGTCTTCTGTAACAATCACAAAACACTTTCATCTTGAATTAGATTTTTAACAAAGACCTATCTTAATAAACATAATGAGTGAAAATTGGGAAATGTTACCTAGGGTATATCACTGGATATTCCTCGGTACTTGGTCACGCGATGCGTTTAGAGCAATCACGCCCGAGATAAATCATTTGATGTATCATAAGGGTGGTTGTCGTCTTCTCTCAAACGACTGATAGAAACCTCATGCAGAAATAGCGTCGCACCATCGTGGTTATGTTAACATTTAACGACAAGTCAGCAAAGTGTGTCACTATCGTTAGTTCTAAAATGAATGAGTTTAAATGATTTTGAAAAACATAAGCGGGAAATATTGCATTGTTGCCCTCTTACGTCATAGATTTGCAACATTGCTGGCTTAGAGACACTTCACCGCAAACACTTTCGTTGTTGTTGTTGTTCGTTGCATGTGGCCTCAAAGTAGCCAAAGGAAAAAAGACATGTGCTGATGGGGAAAAAATCCCAGATAAATAGCAAAAGTATTTCTGAGGAAATGATCGACGTTGACACAGTTTAGAGCACCATCATTGATAGATAGATAAAAATGAGGTGCGATTTTAAAGAAAACAAAAAAGAAAAATGAGAGTGAAGAAATGGCCTACACATCTGTCTCATATAATTAAAACTCAGCAACATATCGTCGCAAGTTGAACCATAAGAGTCAAGTTTGTTAAATAGAAAACCGTCCCTGATAATAGATAATTTATGGTGAACAATCATATTTAAGGTAAATATTGCATTTTTCTTCTAAGGAATTCGCCATCGTTTCTTCGGGCTTTTACATTTCCTCTCTAAAATGTACAGTCTTTTCAGTCAATATTTGATGTTGTTGAATAACAAATTTATGAAATTACTGTCTTTCGCTGAAACGTCAAACCTAAGGTTCAGAGACAATTTGCGATATCATTCCTAACTTTTCATAAGTTATCGCCAGTCTATCAATCGTTCAACTAAGGATTATGGACTGAGAGATCCATAACGTGATTGAAGGCATCCTAAAAGAAATCATCCATGATCTCATTTTCTTTCTTGCCGTTGTCATCTTTGGCATTCATAGCACTCTTTCTCCCATTCTAATCTCTTCTCCACCGGCTTTTATTCAGAATCGAGTCGACAAAGAATCTTATTCGTAAACAAAAACAAATCACCTTTAAAAAGGAAAAAGTAAAGCAGAGGAATCCGTCCTACATAGGCACGTAACTCAGCGAAGTGTTTTCAAAAAGTTATGTTGAGCGTTAAAAGCCCAGTTTTTGATTTTCATAGCCATTAACTTTCGAGAACTCAAAGTAAAAACAGGCAAGCTGCTTGAAATGAGAGAAAACGCGAGTAACCAAGCCGTAAATTGGTTTTAGTCTTGAATCTGATTGATAGAGGAAGCGTGCGATTTTTTTGGACAATTCTAATAGCGAAGTCAAGAAAAACCAGTGCATTCCCGAATTTTCTACGACAATCACTTGAAAATAGCTGTGTACAACATATGAATGATAGCGAAATTACTTCAAAGGACACCCTATAGTACCTTCACATCCGTAGAGCTCCATTCTCATCGAAATGTGTTTATGCCATATGGTGGGTAGAAGTCTTACGTAACGCGCCTTAATGGATGGGTGAATCTGCTGGAATACAACAGTGTCACTGTCTTGGTTTGCGATGAATTCCTGCAAACAGAAGCAGAAAGTAAACTTGATGTTAAACCATCATTTTACCACAAAAGCCAGAGGTGATACTTCTATTTAATGGAGATTTGCCAAGGTACAACCTCAAATAAGCAGTTGCTTGGAGCTGAAATACCAAGCAGCTCTCGCAACCAGGAAAAAACTGCCTTAATATTTCAAGACATTTCTGGCAGATATCAAGTATCATTTCCCACTCTTTAACTTTATAAGTCCAGACCTAACCCAAGGGGAAAGCACAGGACGTAAAAGAAAACAAATATGTTCCCATATTTCATTAAGAGTACCTTTGGAAATTTTTGACCTGGTATTTGATAAAAGCTAAAGTTCACTCCATCATCACTGTACTGTATTCTGTATTTTTTCACCCATTGGTTGTGGGCATTCCTTCCTTGAGTGGCCATCTGTGTTACTGTCGTTTTAGTGAGAAGATCAACCTGGATCCACTGATTAAAATTATTGTTTTTTGCTGACCAGCCTCCTTTTTTTCTTTGATGCGCTAAAAAATTCAACCTTCCCTGGATTGCAGCATGGTTTCCATCCCACTCTGAAGAGGCTGAGATCTGAGCGTCCTTTATGAGTTTTAATTGGTTATCCATACCCAGGGGTGCTGAGCATGCTGTAAGGGTTGGAATAAGTGAATTAATCCCAACATAGCGTATGAATAGCTCTAGGAATAATTCGGTTATGTTGGCGTGACTTTTTGACGTAAATTTTATTCGATGACTTTGCTACCATTAGCCACCTAGAGCACATAGCATAGTATCCGAAGTACTACTCACAAAAAGGTAAAAGGTTTGAATTTTGGTTGAAGTGCACAGAATTTTCTCTCTTTAAGTGTTCCTCTGTAAAGGGCTAAGATATTTGTCGTTTTAACATGTTTAGATGTACATGAGAAGGAAAAATTCTGTCGAAAAGTACAGGAAATTACCTAAATGGCGGATCTTGGTTTGAACTGTTCCGTGGTGGAATGGAACCGATGGAAACTATGTTTTTCGCCCTCTGTTCGCATTTTCATTTGCGTTGCCCCGATTCATGCGTTTGGGAAGCGTATGCAAACGTAAATGCAAGCTCAATAAAATTAAAAATTTTTCATTCCTCGCGTTGACGCTTGCATCTGCATTTGCGTAAGGATAGTTCAAACGTTTAAATCATTGCATTAGTATTTGCGCCTGCTCTTGCATTTGCGTCACACGTGTGAACCAGGGTTTCGTTTCTTTATCCAAGAGCCATACATGTCTGAATGAGGCAAATACTCTTTTTTACGTTTCTGAGACTATTGACAATACCTGTACAATTGCGTCCATCTCCAGCATATCTAGGTTTGCAAGTGCACACGTACGATCCGCGTGTGTTAATACAAGTGGCGTATACGTGACATAAGCCAGGGTATGTTTTGCACTCGTCAACATCTGTCAAAAATTAGAAAAAAAAGGAAAAGAATAAAAACTAGGATCCAGTTCTTCTCCATGAGCCGTTCATTTCTGAACGAAACAAAATACTGCTTTGCTCGTTTCTGGTTTCATGTGATTCTTAGTTCGGACTTGTAAGCAGAGAATCAAAATATTCTTGAGTTTTGCTCAGGTCGATGCAGTCTACTCTGCAAACTGACCCTCGTTTGCCAGAAAAACAAGCAAAAATAATACATTAAAGTACACTGTGAACTAAGACAAATTCAACGGAACTTAATCCAACGAGAAAAACAGGAATCGACACCATTGAATTAAGAGAGAAATTCATGCTGTTTTAAGCGTAATGTAGATTACCATTTTCGCAATGTTCTCCATCGAATCCAGGAGGGCATAAGCATCGATATCCCTTGATGGTGAAACCAGACTGACAAGTTGCGTTATTTTGGCACAGTGAAAACCTATCACAAGAGTTCTGAAGGAAAGAGACAAAAATCGACAGATTGAAGGAACGAATCTTTAAAGAATAATGAAGAAGTAAAACTTCAGTTATTTTTAATATGTCATCCCAAATCAACAAATTCGTAAATTCTGCTGGTAACTCACCTTCGAGCCACGATAGTAAAAAGACGCGTCATTTGTCAATTCGTTGTCATATTTCAGATGTGTGGCGTTGTTTAGTTCACAGATGTGACCTGAGTTATTATTCTTTGGATTAATCCCTGGATCTTTTTTGAAGTTAAGACTGACACAGTTGTCGTTCAGGTAGCAAAAAAGCTCACAGTCATCTAAGTTCTTGACTTTTCTTGTTTCGATAGTGTGGTTAACCAAACGTCTTTCAGCAAAGAAGTAGTAATCTGGAAACAGCATTGCGCGCTCTCGCTCTAAAATAAATAAATTAAAATATATAGTTACAAGGTAAACTTTTCCATCGCGCAAAAACCAAATCTCAAAGAAGAAGCTCCTAAGACGAATTTCTTGGCAAAAAAATTGGGATCCCAGTAAATTGCGCTAGCAAATACATCGAGAGCATAGTAAAACATAACCTTGGATGAGAAGAACGATAATTCGTTAAATAAGTTTTCCAACTTTGTAAATTGCCTTTTTTTTAAAAAACTACCCAACTTTCGTAATTTTTAATTTTTCCTTCAATCTCTCGTTAGTTCTTCATCTGAAAAAAAATTGGAATGGGGACGGTCTTTCTTCAAGTTAACAGGTGCTAGACAATTGAATGTTTATCCCAAAGTCATTTCTTGATAATCATTGAACGGTTACCGTGCTAACTTGAGCTGAGAAAAAACTATTCTTTTCTAGTATCGTGTAACAGATTTACAATTGGAATCGAAAGCTTTCTAAACGTACAAATTTAGGGTGAAATTCTTCAATTTGCATTTTCAAGCCAATGCAGGTGGTTGAAGTTGGTTAACTATGGTTTATTTATGAATATGAATTATTTTACTAAATTGTTTTCTTAACGCAGATTATTCAATAATTCTCGGTTTTCATCAAATATTTTTATAACATAGCCAGTAAATTTGTCTGATCAAATTCAATTGCCCGAGCGTGCTTCATATTCCTTTATGCATGCTCATGACGTCAGCAAACAAATCCCTCGAGAAAAAATTTCCCACCGGGTTGAAAATGTTATAAAACAATTGGTTCATACGTCATCTGTGCGTTCATCAAGATATGAAGCACTTGGGAAGTTTGGAGAGCACTCAAGAAGCAAGAGTTGCTCTCGGCTACGCCTCGAGCCACTCTTATGCATCTTTCGTGCTCTCCAAACTCCCCGCGAGCTTCATATCTCGATGAATGCACGCTTACGTATGAACCAATGGTTAACTTTTTCACAAGTCAGGTCGCGCACATCTGTTTTCCGTGGTAGAAAAATATTGATCAGAGCAAAGGAAAAATAAGAACACACAACTGAATGGCATACTTTGGAATAAATTACAGTCTTGAGTTATTGCAATGAGATTGATGTTGAAAGGAAATAAACTTTCAAAATTTCACGAGACTCCTGCGCAAGTGTTTTGACTAAAATCTTCGTGTTAAAGCTATTTGTTGTTTGGCAAGCCTGTACTTTAAAACTAATCCTTAAAAGGTTTTGGGTAAGATTTTTTTTCTGTTTTCAATCGCACTGTAAGGGCCAAAAAAGTATTGTAAGAGACAGGCTATCCTGTTTTTCCGCAGAAATGTTGAACCCAGAAAACACAATTTATTTCATGCACTGGCATTGCTTCTCTATTTCAAGACCTAGTTTGACTAAGAGCGGCTTCACGATACAAAGTATCCAACTCCCGTGTTTCAAAACAAAGCGAAAATTTCTTAAGGGTAGTTTTATCGGTTCCTACAATCTTGAGTTTAGCATTAGGAGTGTTCTTGTTTTGAATGAAGCACTTTTCACCGTGGTCGTTCCTTGTTTTCATGTAGTTTATTCTATAACTGAATCTTATTTTTCGCTCTTTTCTCGGCTCTTTGCCTTTTTTTTTTATTTTTGGTAGATTTTGACGAATGAAAAACAAACCCATGCGAATTTCACTCAAACATTACTTGTAATAACACATACTGATCATACGTGTACACTTCCAAACCTCCCAAATGGTTCATGATAGTAACACCCCTTTCTTAAATTCCGCTTGTTATAATCACATTTGTTGAGTTCGGATTCTTAGTTTTGTTGTAATTACAGGTCGTGCATATAGAACTTTCAAAACTCAGCGCATGAACTGTTAAAAAAATCAGCCAAAATTGAGGCAAAGAGTGATGCGAAATTAGATTGTACGAATGAAATATGAATCTAGGGATAGAAAATGATCCGTTCGCAGTTTGCAACTCACCTTTACCAAACGTCCAACAAGTCATCAAAGCATTTAGGACTGCGACGATGAAAAGTGTAGAAAAGTCCATGCTTCCTGAGGACAGCAGACCTCAATATTGATGTAACAAATTTCGAGTTGACCACCTGCATTCAGTAATGCATTAATCAAAACAGACCGGCCTGTTTGCATTGAAAATGGGATGTTAACAAAATTAATAGCTATCAGTCCTTACCTAATAAAATTATTGATGCAAATAACATTTACGATAACGTGTGGTCAGTTTCTGCGAATGAATACGTTTTCGATATCTTTTGTTTTGCTTCATAGAAAGAGTTTGAATTTGGGGGACTACGATTTGATCGGCGTTAACTAACAGAATAGACGCAGGACTTGCCATACTTTTGCAATTAAATTAAAATAAATAGCTTCATAATAACAGTCAACTGATTATGTCTAAGGCAATAACATTATGAGCATATTTATAGAACAGTGGGAAAATAACACAAAATTCAGACGGCCAAATTCTCCTGAGTTTCTGAGATAGTGCAGCCTCAATTTTACAAGATTAATCAGTAGATTCAGTGTATTTTTCTCTCATTTTTAGGGTAAAACACCTTATATCAATCGAAGCATTAATAACTGACGTACTGCAATTATAACAAACATAGTAAACAGAAAATAATACATGGGCGCGCGTAGATGTAGAATTTCTCCTCAAGTTTAGGCCTTTCTCGATTGTGTTCGTAAAATGCTGGATAGTTGCTGAATGAAAAGCTGAAAAGTTGCTGAAGAAAAATTACCAAAAAGCTGTTTCCTAAATGTTGTGATATTTATATATAAACGTTGATTGAAAGCTCTATTTTTCGGTCTTTACAAATATTTCTAATAACATTGCTAGAGAAAAACAGCTTGAAACCTAGCTTTGAAGAGTGACTCGCAAATATGGGCGAAAATTGTGAATACTTTCAAGTCTCACGGAACAAAACACATGGTTCATTTGAGGCCGTGCTGAACGTCATTTTAGCTGACTATCCGTTTTGATATTACATAAGGATCGTTATGGGCCTGCGAAACGCTGTCAAGTGACAGGTTATGTGTTCTAAAGCTTGATAAACATTCGTATGAAATTCGCATAAATTAAAATTTTATATCTTTGACCTTATTGTGCTTGATGTGTGCTCTAAGCTTAGACCTTGCTCAAAAATTGCTTAGAATGGTAAAAATTCCTAAAGGTTGTAGGAACTGCAAAAAGTTGCTCCAAACACCAAAATGTGCTCAAATATTACCGAGCACAATCGGGACAAGTCTATCCGAGTGTTCATCTCGATATCTGACTCATTCGCTACTCTTACTTGTGAGATATCGAGTTGAACACAAGAAGAGGAACTCCGGGTCTACAAGCAATTAAATCTTGTTTTGTTTATTTTATAAACACCTTTGCCTTTACCGACAAGAAAAGGAACAAATGAATGAATGAGTTAACGACTGAAAAGAAAAGGATCCAAAATCAACTAAGTGCGGGGGGACTAAGGTTCAAGATGAAAAAATGCGTCGAATCATTTCAAAAACAAACGATGGACGTAACTTTCAATTCACAGAATCCTCAGTTATTGCCTTTTTTCGTGCCTGCGGGCGGCCTATGGAAAACCTTTCAGCTGTCGATTTTTGTTCTCAGCCGCAAGAAATCCCGTTACCAAAGCCAACTAACTTACGGTTTCTCTTTTCGTAATTTGGTTTCCTTCCGCTTCTACAATCGGCGACCAAATTGTTGACACATTCACTTTTTCAATCCTCTATTACTTCAATTTTTCCCCTTTTTTCCCTCTGTAAGTTAACTTACTTGCCCCCTTCCCCCAAAAAACGATTTTGTATCGTAATTCCATGAACCTTTAGCTACAAGCAGGCAACATTGAGTGGGTGAGGGGCGTCTTGTTAATAAATGTGGTAGAAACAGGAGTATTATTCTACAAATGGAAAGAGCTCTTCAAACATGAAGTGTCAACTTATTTTGACGCTTATTGTAGGAAATTTCGAGGGTCACTGTCACACATCGATACGCACTGTTCTGTGTTGTTAGCAGCCATAATACGAGAAAAGTTTGACAAACGACCATGGATTGAGAATAGCTTTGCCACTCATTCATCGACCTTACAGAGTGGCGCGAAAGGCTAATGACGTGTTAGCAGCTAATTGGCGATAACAAGCAAATGTGAAAAAATTCTTGTTTAATTGATAATTTTACACAAGAGCTGTTTCGGCTACGGCTTTTCCCGAGGCTAGAAATCCTTGTAGAACACCACAGTTTATATCATAATAAAATTTCATCCTATAACTCGCTCGCTCCCACTCACGGAGTCCTATAGCAAATGACGACCAGTGTGTAGGGTCAAACAGGTTGGCAGAGGCCGATACCAAAAAACCGTCCACCCTGCACTCGTACTCGGCTCTATTACATTTCTCAAAAGCGTGAATTCTTAATTTGGATTCTAGCTTTAAAAAAATCTAAAATATAAAATAGGTCGCGTTTTTTTAATGAACTGCGAGTCTCTCGCTCTTCATGAAAATCTAAGCATTTTATGATGTTGATCGAGCGAAATATTTTCTGTCTCACTTAGTCAATTAGTACGTTGTAATCAAAAGGTGATTTCCCAGTTTGAGGTCTTCGGTTATGAGTTACACTCTTGAACGGAACTGTGAATAAATTATTTACTTTGAACAAACAGAGAACTCTCTTTGAAACTGGTGATCTTACATTATCGAAAGTCCCTAAGCAACTTACGACTACTTTCTCTCCTACGTCTCAACATATCTTGGAGATCATGTTACTTCCAATAGCATAAAGAGTGTCGAGTAAGAGCCCCTCAATTATCTTATAATAGTTGACTGTAAGATACAGTGGTAGCTTCTATACTTAAGTCAGTGCTGTCATGAGGCCAAACTCTGAACGTTAGCGTTACCGACTTGATCTCAAGGAAGATGGTAAATCGATGCTTGCAAAATATGCACCATCATGCATGATTGCTTTTAGCCAAACGATGCACCATCTTGTATGGCTTCCAAGGCATTCATTGGACTACCTTTTGAAATTATTAAAAATCC